GATGATGATGATGATGATGATGATAATGTATACCCTGGTACATATTACTAAAATATTACTTTCATTATCTCATTCTCTTGTTCAAGGACTTTTTTGGCATTGTATTGGTAAAGATACATGATTTGAAGTAAAGAGTCTAAGATTGAATGCCAGTCCTGATAATTATAATTTTTGTGTTCTTGGGCAAGTCACCCTTTTTAGGTCTTAGTTTCTTCCTCTGTAAAAGAGGACTGCTGCATTGGGTAGTCTTAAAGATAAGATCCAAATCCTGTGATCTCATGATGCTTTGCATTCTTTAATCCCATAATAAATCTAAACTTCTTTGAATAGTTTTTGAGGCCCCTCCATAACCTGGCCTTAGGTCATTTAGCCATTGATTTATCCATTGGTCCATTTAGCCATTGATATCCACATATAGCATAATATATGTTTATTAGTGAATTTTTTAAGGAATGAATCCATATATTTCTCACTGTACCATCATGCATACTCTCTGCTCTAATTAAACTTATCTACACAATTCCTCATACATATCCTCTGATACTTTAATAAATGGTTGCTGGATTGGATTTGAATGGAAGAGAGAATACTTTTATCTGGTAGCCATGCTTTCTTTTGGTTTGGTATGGTTCTATTTTAAGAATGTTTCAGTTTGTTCAGTGAAAATAAAAGGTGAGACAAAAGTACCTTTTAGCAGAGGGGTCAGACAGCTAGTAAAATGTACTTCTTCTACCTATCTCTTCAATGACTTTGAATTAAAGTTATATCATAGATCACAGGGTGCCCCCTCCATAAAGAGCTCCAGCTTTGGGCCTAAGTGGACTTCAGTATGGTCTTGGGAGAGCCTGACTCTGAAGTAGGGGAATCAGGGTTTTCCTAAACTTTCTGCAACCTGCTCCTGCCCTGGAAAAATCTCTTAAAAAAAAGCTTAGATATGTTTCATTTCTAGAATCTCCCCTAAAGGGTTCACTTCTGGAAAAGGTATGATGTACCAGATATAGGACAAGTAATTCTTGCACTGCAAAAGAAATGCTTAAAATACAAAAGACTTATGGGCGTACACTCAAAAATACTTGAAATATGAAACAGCAGCTAGGAGGCACAATGGTTTAGATAGGCAAGTGGATAGATTTGTCATCAGGAAGACCTGAGTTCCATTTGGCCTCAAACATTTATTAGTGTGATTCTGGGCAAGTCATTTACTTTCTCTTAGTCTCAGTTTCCCCATCTATAAACAGGGATGGTAATAGCACCTATCTTATAGAGTTCCTGGCTGTCTTCTTCTTGGCAATATCATTCATTCCCATAGCTTCAGCTACACCTCCTTTACAGATGAATCTGAAATCTTTATCTCCAATCCTGGCTTTTCTCCTGAGCTCCACCCCACATCTTTAGCTGCCTACAAGGTATCTCTATTTTCTTCCCATTGTGTACGATAAAAAGCAATTTCTTCTGTTTGGCGTGTAAAAACCCTTTATGGTCTAACTCCAGTCTGCATTTCCCATAAAATGGCATAAGTTGTGGTCACATACCACATTCCAGCTAAATCTGACCCGTTGCTCTTTTTCATAGGTGATGCTCCATCCCCTACGTCCATGCTGCTGAGCAGGTTCTTCTACATATCTGTGATGTACTCCCTCTTCACTCTTGCCCTTTACGTTCATTAGCTTCCTTCAAGGCTCAACCCAGGTGCCATTTCCCATATTTTCTGAATTATTTGTCCACTCTCCCTCCAATTACTTATTTACTTAAATGTTCTCTCTGTCCAGTTGAATGTAAGTTCCTTGAAGGCGCATGCTTTTGTCTGTATATTCCTGGCCCCTAACCCATTGTCCCATATATAGGAAGTGGATGATAACTTCTTGTTAATTTTTGTCCTTCCTTTTCCAAGCCATTGACTCTCTCTTGCATACCTCTCATTTCTTTTCCCAATTTTTCTTCTACCTCTCTTATTTGACTTTTAAAATCCTTCTTGAGCTCTTTCAAGAAGGCTTTTTGGGCTTCAGACCAGTGTATAGTCCCTTTCGAGGTTTTGGATGTTAGTGTATTGACAATGTTGTCCTCTTCTGGATTTCTGCCTTGATCTTCCCTGTCCCCTTAATAAGAATCTATGGGCATCACACATTTCTTTTTGTTCATGGTATTTGCTTATTTCCCGACTTTAAAAAAAAGTTGAGCTCATCTACTGGAGAGCAGGGGGCACTGACCCAAGTTTCTTGTGCTGGGAGCCCAGGGCCTGGTTACGGGCTTTGTGCTCTGGGGCCTCAGGTGCTGGCAGTTGGAGGCTGTAGGCTTTTGGCAGTTTTCCTGGTGTTGGGCTGGAATCAGCAATACTGGAACTCTAGGGGTAGGGGTGGGGAGTCTGGCCCCTGGAGGATGCCTCCTCCTCACCCAGGCCTTATACTTCTTTCTTTGGTTCCTGCTCACCTGGGCCTTGCACAGGGATTTTTTTTTTTGCTGCTACAGGATATCTCTCAGCCTGCAGCTTTACCTCTTGGAGTTATACTTCCCAGAATTTTGCTGAAGCACTGGGAGACATGGCTGCTGGAGAACACCATGTCATGTGGTGGTTTTCTGAGCTGGTTTCCACTGGTTCCCCTGCCTCTATTGAGGCACTCGTGTGTCCTGGTGTTAGTACCTGCCTGCTCCATCACCCTGGGGTTCAGGTCTTCTCCTGGTATGCTAATGTGGGGCTTTCCCCTAGCTTGCTGGGATGCCTCTCATTCTGTACTTCTCCTCCTCCCCCAGAGTGAGAGGGGCCTTTCCTGTTAATCCCCCAAGTTTCCTGGGCTACAAGACTACTGCATCCTATCTTTCTGCTGCTTCAGCTGTTTCAGAGTTTTTCCTGGGCAATATTTTGTAGGCTTTCAGAGGCCAATCAGGGAGGTGAGAGTGACTTACTTTTTACTCCACCGTCTTGGCTCCTGGAAGCCAAATACAACATGTGTAAAACAAAGCTTATTATCTCCTCCTACCCCAAATCTGTGCTTCTTTTTGAATTATTTTAATTTTTGGCACCACCTTTGATCCCATTCACGCACAATTGAAACCTTATAGTTATCTTTGACCTTTTTCTCCTTCATTCCTTATAGCCAGTGGTAATTTTGCCACTGCCTACATCTTTTACGTTTCTCTATGTTTCTCTTTTCTCACTGTCACTTGCCTGAGTACAGGTCCTTATTGTTACTTGCCTAGAATATTGCAGTGTTTTCCATTGAAGTGTTCCTTTCTCACACTCTCTTCACCCGAAAACCATCCTTCATACTGCTAACTGGTCATGTCACTACTCTGGTCAAAAAGTTTTTATGACTCCATACAGCATTCTGAATACAATTCAAAGTTCCTTGCCTAGATTTAAGACCCTCCTTAATTTGGTACCATCCTCCCTTTATATACTCATCTCATATTGTTTTATCCATACCCCAGTCAAACTGGTCATGCTTTGTACCCTGGATACAGCCTGTATTCTCACACATCCTGGACTTTCCTCGTGCTGTTCTCTATGCCTGAAATGATGCCATTCCTCTTCCTCTTTACTTGCTGAATTATAATCCATTATTTAAAGTTCCACAAAATATATCACATCCTCCTCAAAGCCTTTCCCATTCTGCCTAACTGTCAAGGACCTTGATCTTTGTATTAAACAATATATTGATTTGTAATTCTCTAATGTGCTTAGCTATATCTGGGAGTTAGCTTACCAATACACTTAAATACAACTATAAAATACTGCTTACAGAAATAATGATTTAAATAACCAGAAAAATGGTGTTTCCTATGATTGGATCATTCCAATATAACCCAAAGGACAATATTACCTAATCAATTTATAGATTTAGTGCAATACAAATTCAGTGAATAAGGGGATATTTTATTGAACTAGACAAAAAACAACAACATCATTTGGTGGAAGTGGCCTAGAATCTAAAGAGAAAAAAAAACAGTAAAAGTATAAGTGAATGGCTATAGCATTGCCAGATTTCAACTATATTATTAAACAAGAATCACCAATTATTTAGTCTGATTTGAAAAAAAAAAACAGAACAAACATCAAAAAATTAGTTGACTTGACTAGATAAGCAGAACTTTGAAGTAAAAAGGAATAACAATAGCTCAGTGTTTGATGATCCCAAAAATGTAAATTAATTGGGGAAAGAATTCATTTTATACAAGGATTGCTGAGAACACTAGAAAACAGTTTGACAGAAAATAGGCTTAGAAACAACAGTAACGTAACCAAACTCTTCGTACTCTGACAAAACCTAATGTGCCTAAAACCAAAAGGTATTCTAGATAAGAAAATCTCAAAAATATTAAAACCAATAACAAAGGTCCAACATAACCTAAAACCTTCATTGCAACACTCTCTGTGGTACCAAGTAATTATAAACAAAGCAGGTGTCAATCAGTTGGAGAATGACTGGAAAAGATGTGGGATGTCAATGTAATAGGACATTATTATACAATAAGAAATGAAACATGATAAATTCAGAGAAATGTGGGAAGATTTGTAAGAATTGATATCGCATCAAATGAACAGAACCAAATTTTATATGACTGCAACAATGTAAAATAAAACATCACTAAAATAATTTGATCTATGAGTATTGGACAGCTCAGTGATGTTCCAGGAAAGTAGATAATGAAGTGTTCCAGCCTTCTCAGAGAAGTGACATAGAGGACAACTAGGGAGGAATATTATACACATGGCCAGATATACTTGGATTTTTTGTTGTTATTTGTTTTTCCCCCATGTAACAGTATTTTATTTTTTTTTAATTACATGTAAAGATAGTTTTCCAGATCTACTTCTTACAAGAAAAGATTCAATCTGGAGAACGAGAAGGATCCCCCAAATTAATGTGATATAATGACAAAGGGCATCAATGAAACTTTAAAATAATTACTCTGCTGTATTTTCCTGTACGTTATACATCAGCTGCCAAAATCTGAGCAACATATGTTTAACATAAGCTATTCTTTTGTTTGATTCTCAACAGCTAAGTCCAATTTTCAGAGACACTGTGCTGAAAGGAACCTTTAATGCTACCCTACGGAATCCTTTATTGTATGAGGTGGAAAATGTCTCTATGGCTCAGAAACCGAAACACAGTCCTGTCTGGGAAGTAAACGTGTGATGTTAAAATGGTGAGTCTTGCTGACTTCCTCCGTAGCTGCATTAGCAGCCTCAGATCCGTTTGTTTCATTTTCCGTAGTCCATAAATTGCATGATTCATAGTATCAGTCACTTGGAAACCATCTTTAATAAAATGGTTTTGGCAGACTTTCTTTTGGCTAGCCCTTCTTGCCCAATACAAAGACATCCATCCTCTCCCTGCTGCTTTGTTTTAGTCAGTTCCCACGGAAGCCCTTGGCCTTGCAACATCCTAGTCTTTTTGGAAATAATTATACAAAAAGTGAGATTGTATTTCGAAAGGATTGTCATTAAGTCAGAAAGAAATGCCCTTGTCTGATGGAAAAGAGGAGAGAGCCAGAGCACCAGCATCCATGCAACGTCTGAGACAGTGGTCGAGGCCTGGGGTTTCATCAGGACAGGAATGTGCTCTGGCCTGTGGTATCCCAGGGAGAAATTCCTCTTCCATTCAGTACTCACCTCATTAAATGCCTTTATGGTTAGGGCACTAACTGAGTTTGCATCAATTAAAAGGCACCAGAGTTCTGAAGAGAAATTTATTTACCCCTTTTTTTTTTCCTTTGGGTAATAAAAGCAAAGATCAATAGCCCATGTAAATGGTTGACCTACTTAGTGAAACTACAAAGGAAATTCCAAGAAGCACCTTCACATTTTTCTATTGTGAAAGTCTTAGCTTCATTGCTTGTCTGGAACCCTGGAGTTCCGTGGACACATTGTCTATGGAAGAATGTCTCTGTGTTAGTCTTACTTTGACAAGTGTTCTTTTCGGTTTATGTTAGTAAGTGGGATAGAAGCTCCCAACTAACATTGCCAGAATTCTTCATCATCTTTTAATTGTCATAGTATTCGTCAGCATATACTTGTGGTTTTCAAATGAAATACATTTTCTCTTGCTAACTAATCACTTTCTTCAACCACAATCCCCCAGACTTGAAATAGAAACAGATGTTCATATTTGCAGTCCATTGAAGCAAGAATAAACAAGATTTCCCTTTCCCCTAACTCTTACTCTACACCCCAAGTTTCTAAATAGATCTCAAATGGATTTGATTGTAGAAGGACTAGGGAAAAGACTGATTTACTCAATGGAAGGAAATAGTAGAACACAGTGAAATGGAAGCTAGCACCAAATGTGTCCACTAGGTTCTATGTAATATAAGACAGCTGGTGCCAGAGAGGGTAAAACATCAGGCCTGGAGGCAGGAAGACCTGAGGTCAGATCTGCTTACTAGCTGGGTCACTTAACTTGACTGTCTATTTCCTCAGCTATAAAGTAGGGATGGTAATAGCCCCTACTTCTCAGACTGTTGTGAAGATTAAATAAGATAGTATTTATAAAGCACTCAGCATAGTACAGGAGTGGGGAACTGTGGCCTCAAGGCCATATGTGGCCCTCTAGGTCCTCAAGTGCGGCCCTTTGATTGAATTCAGGGCCACATGCGACCTTGAGTCTGCAGGTTCCCACCCCGGCATAACATCTGGAACATAATAGACAATAAATATTGATTTCCCACCTCCTTCCCTTCCTTCCTTCCTTCCTTCCTTCCTTCCTTCCTTCCTTCCTTCCTTCCTTCTTCCTTCCTTCCTTCCTTCCTTCCTTCCTTCCTTCCTTCTTCCTTCCTTTCTTCTTTCCTTCCTTCTTTCTTTTCTTCTAGGTAATAAATATTTTTCCATTCTATCTTTATGTCCTGTATGCCTTGCACATACTAGGCACTTCATAAATGTTTATTGTTCAATTTACTTTAATTGAACACAACAATCTTAACTGAAGCTGCTTCATATAAAAGAACAAAGATAATCAGAAAAGTTTTGAATGTAGTTTTACTAGGTATATATAGCTAATCAATACCTCTGATGTTCTAGAGTAAATTTTTAAAGCTTTAAATTATTCCTTTATCATAATCACATAGGAAAATCAAACCTTTATTTTAAATATATATATTTAAATATAAAAGTGAAATCACTTAGCAACTTCTCAACACCTAAAAGAATGTTCTGCCCTGGGGAAGGCCTCTCAGGAATCCAGAGAGTCCTACTGATTGATGCTAAGCTTCGTCTTTTCTTTTTCTTCCCTCATCTTGCCTCTGTACAGTTTCTGTATTTCTGCTTTAGCTCCATCTCTCCCATCATCTTCATCTCTTTTTCTCTCACTGTCTCTTTCTTTTCCTCCTTTCCTATTTCTCCCTCTTTCTTTGTTTTTTCTCTGACTCCCTTTCTTCTTTCCACCTATCTCCCTAAAATGAAATGAAGTATTAAATTTTAAAAATATTTCTTTAAAAAAAATACTTTTCACTTATATGTGGGTGGAATAAAACATTTTTCCCCTACTGGTTTAGCATTAAAACAGCCCTTGCTTGATTCATTTTTAGAAGATGTTGCCTAATGACTTTAGGTACTTTGGAAACTGGTCATTCTTGAAAGAAGATGAAAGTTGCCTTCTAAAGTGAGGCAGAATAAGTGGACAAATAGACCCAGAAGCATCATAGGGCCGGGTGTGTAGGGCTCTTCCCCAGAAGGGACCCAAAGTAGAGGGTGCTCGATTTACCCTGGAGTTGTTGGAGAAGCCACTGCCTTCAAACTCAAGAAGTAACATGAGGGGAGAGGGGTAGGACTGCATCCTTTCCAGGCCCCATCTGGGCTAAGAAAGTCATGTCCACTCCCACTCATATTCCCTTCATCACTTTTCACTCAGGCCCCTTGAATGTCATTGATCCTCTGGGTACCTCCTAAGTACCTGGCCTAGGATGGTAGAGAAGAGCTAGGTACCTGGATGCAAGAGGAATGGGGAAGAATGGAGGCAACACAGCCTGGCCCCAGTAGTGGCTGCCCTTTCACTCCCACCCCCCAGCAGGATCATACCAGAGGACCCGTGAACTCTGTTCATTTTCTGACTGTGTTATGCAGGAATACTATGTGCTATTGTCATAAGGCGCTAGCACCTCACCTTGGGAAAATCTGAACACATGTGCCCTGCACCTTCACTTCTCCTTATGCTCACTTCTCTACCTTTTGTAAATGGCTTTAGGCCACATCGTTCAATCGAAGGACCTCTCTCCAAAGCTACTAAGTTATAATTGAGAAACTTTATACTTTTATCGATGTGGATTCTACTAACCCCGTCTTGTTATTTTTGACTTTGCTGACGCAAGTCACAGGGTATGAACTTGATCTCACTTTTCTCTCACCATTCTGAATTGTTGACCAGGATGGTTAGACCAAATCGTCTCTTCTGAAGCAGTGTATGTGAGCCTCTCTTTCCGTATCTTCTCCAGTGTTCCATTTTATATCACCTCTGCCAATTTGTTGAGTAGGAAGTATTTGAATTTACTTTATTATTAGTGATTTGGAACATTTCCCCATATGATTATTGATCATTTATATTCCTTCTTTTGAAAATTGTTTCATATCCAGAGTTATGCTATGAATTTTTTTTTTCAATGACGAAAGTTACCTTTTGTTAGGGGTTGGGTGGAGGCAGACAGAAACTCTGGGTCACCAGCACTTGGAGGAGAAATAGCTCTCCCTTCTTGTCATTGGGTAGCTTCTAATCTAATTCAACCCACTAAGCATCTATTAAGCACCTTCTGTATTTAGTCTTCTAGGAAAGGAAGAAACAAACATTTACTGAGTACCTATTTTGTGCCAGGCACTGTGCATTATGAATGTCTCATTCCATCTTCACAACAACCCTGGGTATTTGATTCTATTATTATCCCCATTTTATAATTAAGGAAATGGAGGCAAACAAAGATTAAAATTTAGTGACCTGTGCAGGATAGCTAGGCTGATTTGAACTCCACTTTTCCTGATTCCCTGCCCATTGTACAGCCTAGCTGCCTCTTTTGTGTCCTTTGGGAATTCAAAAATATAACAAAAACAAACCCTTTATTCAGAAGCTTATGTTCTACTATGAAGAAACCACATATAAACAGATACATACACTGATAGCTAGTTAGCTAGCTATACACACACACACACACACACACACACATACACACTTATAATGGTAATTTAAGAAAAGAGAGGGTACTATCAACTAATGGAATCAGGAAGAAACTTCATAAGCATGTCAGGGGGAGATGGAATGAGTGTGGAGTCTAGGAAACTTCAAGAAGGTCAGTTTCTTAGAAATAGAGTGTGAAATGAATTAATGTGAAATAAGCTTATACAGGTAAGCAGGAGCCAGATAGAGGGATCTTACATTCACTGCAGGCCTGAGCCCCCAGACTCCTAGATGGGCATCTCTCAAGTGGAATCTCATTCTGTCTCAAGTCTCAGCCTCTGGGTCCTGGGAGCAGTAGGTGCTCAGGTCTTGTTTCAGTAGAGACTCCAAGTTATCAGAGATCCCAAGCACACCAGAGGTATCAAAGAGAACTTTATTTTTAGCAACTTAGATATTAGGAGCTGAGTTCCTATGCCATATGCAGACATGTCCTGGGTGTACCTCATCCATCCCCTCCTCTCCCACATCACCACCATAAAGGTCTATGCAGATGTTATATATAAATATAACCCAGCCTCCAAGGACCTAATCATCACTTTATTCCTGTTTGATTACCAGGGTCTTAGAACTATAAGAAATCCTGAAGCCCTGGGATTCAGAAGCAGTCAGAGCCTGTATTCACTTCATATTTAGTCATCCTATGACCCTACACTTCTGTTAAACAACTGGCCTTTGTCTTCAATCTCTTTATACTCTTTGGCCAATGGAAACCTGATTCAAACCAGAAAACACCAAATCTCTGGCCTCTGTCTCAAAGGCACTCCTTCTCAGATGCCAAATGCACATTATAAACTAGGAGAAGTACTCTTATTCCCAGTCTTTCCCTTTCTCACTGTCACTTAGCAAATTCATTGAGGTTCATTCCACTAACATCTAGCAAGCTCTAAATCTTATCACAGTGACTGTTTAACCTCTTGGACCTTCTTTTTCCCTTTCTCAAGAAGGTCAGAATCTAGACCTAAATTGATCTTTTTTTTTCCTTCATCTTTT